AGTTGTTTTTTTTTTTTGTTGTTGATGAAATTTTTTTTTTTTGGTTGCAGATATGAATCATTTCTCTGTTTGCCTTTTTCATGCTGTCTGTGTTGCAGTATTTGGACGGTTGATTTAGCCTATTTGCTGCAGAAGTTTTCTGTAAGATTTTCCTACTGTACAGTAACCTTAGGAGCTAACCCAAATTTTTATGTGGAGACGTTTTACAAGGTGACGTCTTGTTTCACAATCAATGGTCTAATTTATCTGAGTTATGTTTTCTTCATAATGTACTTAACATTGGGTCATCTCAGTGCCCTATCACTCCGTAGATGACATTGTACATGTAATCTTGAAGCTTGAAGCCCTTCTGTATTTAATTTTTAATCTGACATCCTGGCGTGCTTGGTTTGCCACTAGTTGCATACGTGTTGCACATGCTAGATACATGGTGCCTGATCGGAACAACAAATAGGAAATTGTAGGAGGAAGTGTGTGAGTTTTTGTTATTTTGGTTCTTTGTTTCTTTCCCAAGGATGACTTGTGATGAGGTAGTTTGCCAATTTTATAGGGTATTTTAAATGAATAACATGGATAAATTAAACAATCTAGGAGTTGGCATTTCGGCATTGAGAAGTTGATTTTTATTAATATGTTCTTTGTACGTCATTTTATAATTCTGGGCTGTATTGTATGGTCTGTGTGGAGAGAAAAGAACAATCGTTGTTTTGAAGAGCAAATATAGACAACAAAACAGATTAGAGAATTGTTTATTGACATTGTATAGTTGGTATAATGCTGCTGCTACTAGTCATATAAAAGGGTTGCATAAGTTCATGTTGTTTCTTTCTTGTGTAAATTGTTAATACATTTCACGTGTATTATCCTTTGATTAATAAAATATTTGATTACCTATGAAAAAAATATCCTTGCTGTGAAATCAAGCTTTGTAAATGGTTGTGATCCTTTATGATTCTAAGATGTATTTACAAGAGGTTTGCACTCTTCTTTTATCAATTATCTTATTTATGTTGCCAACTTTTAATACCAAAGAATAGCATATTGCAGGAACAATTGCCTAACGATCTAGTTCGAGTAAATTTGTTATTTCAAGAAGCTCGGAAAGCTGAAATCAATATAGAGGTATAATCTATGTGCTATGGTTGGTCCTTGATTCTTTATCAATTGAATTCTCTGCATGTGAAGTAGGAATTTGAAGAAATCTTCTCTGGGTTATCATTGAAAATTAGTAACTCTATCAGCACAAATATTAAGCTCTTTAGCTTATAAATGAGTATAGTAGCTAACTTTTTTCCCATCTTGTCAGTAATACCAATTCAATTTTGAAAGAAATCATTAAGTTTAAAAAAAAAAAAAAACACACACACACACACAAAAAAAAACAAACAAACTTGAGGCATTCATAAGGATTTCCCCGAATAAAATATAAAGACCAATAACATGAGACGGCAATGTGATTAGGAGATTCTTGTGTGGAGTGCAGTTGACTGTTGACCGGGACTTAATTTCTGATATCATTTTTTTTAAAAAAATAATAATAATTATCAAGTGATCACTGAGGTAATCATGGAATCTTGCTTTCCGTGTAAATTAATATCAACGTATTTTTAGTAAAATTGAGTACCACTTGGAATGGAAGGTTCAAGGAGGGTAGTTTGTAATTGACTCTATAGGGAGTTTGGAATGTAGAGGGATCTGGTATTAGTCTAACATGAATTTTTGACTTTCAGTTGGCTACAAAGTGAAATTGTGATGATGCTACATGTTAAAGTATAGTTTCGTGTATTTTATTTTTATTTAAGTAGTTAAACATGCACTGTTTATGTTAATACCTCAACCTCTTTTTCAACTTGTTGCAAATTCATAATGTTGTCAAATGCCGCTTGGTATGAAACTATGTTTCTCCGGAACAAGTTTTGTAATTAACAATGTTGGTCTGCATCTTACAGTTAACTTTTGAGCTTTTTATTATCCTTTTCTATGTTGCCAAAAATACCATTATAGTTCACGTTAATCCCATTGACTATCCTTCAGATAATCCCTACAGTATTTTAATATGAGAAAGAAGCATGTTTACTAAACTGTAATGCAATGTTAATCTCTGGTGTGGTTTCGGAAGCCCGGGTGGTGGTGGTGGTGGTGATTGTATGGAGTACTAGGGGTCACAATTCTGTTAAATTAGAATAAAAAACATTAGTACTGTACAATCCTTAAGAAAACTTGGGGAGAGAGGGACCCATCCTTGTAGTAATGCAGATTTGGGTATGATGACAATCATGACATATGGTGTGGTTTGAGAGATTTTGTGCTTATTTTTATGGAAATGAATGATATTGATAGGCTACCTTTAAAGTTCACCTATACTAGAAGGTCCAGGAAGAATTTAGAAGCAAGAGAGTAACAATATTATGTTAGTTTAAGCAGGACTATTATAAATAGAGATGAACTAGGAAGGAATAAGGGGCAATTATTGAGTGAGTAGAAGGGAGACCTTTAGGAGAGTTATAGTCCTCTTGAATGGCTATTGTTTCTGTTCCACTTCTGTAATTTTTCTTAGTTTCCTTCAATCAATAATAGCAACATATTTTCTGTTCACATACTGCAATTGGAACCTTATCAAATACTCCCCACTATTAGCAACCTAAAATAAGCTTCTCGTTCTGTTTTTGTCACTAATATGTTCCAATATTCTACCTCTCGAGAATCCTTTTTGGACATTTTATATCAAAGACAAACTTTTGAATCCTCTTATGCTTGAATTTTTGAACTCGTATGTTGTGGTTGAAATATATTTCTTACTTAGGAGCACTTGCCTACTGCCACGTGCAAATGTCTAACAGTATATGTCTGAATAAATGAACCACGCTACTACATATTAATGATGTAACTAAGCATGCTTTCTGTCCTATCATTTCTCAGTAATCGTGCATTGGACTGCATATTCATTTTCTCAATCTTACTACTTCAATGTTAGATACATAAACACCATTTTATAGCATCCCAGTATAAATTATACAGATAATGAATATATGAAGGTAAAGTTGCGATCCGTTTTAATCATTTATGGAAGTCCTAAATGTTGTCAATTAGCGTTTGACATTTAGATTCACGTGTACGCTATCCCGATAAAGCAAAGTGTCTGTCCTTCATGTTAATGGAAAATGTGTCAAAATTACTTGTTTGAACTTTTGTGAGCATTTTCTCCTTTATCTTATTCTCCGTTGTTTGGTTGAGGTAGACAAAGAAAATAAGGGACTCAATTCTCTTACACTCTTTTGTAATTGTTTTTCCTTTTCTAGCATTATATTAAAACAATTCGTGTATTAGGAAACTTCTATAAACGTTTTTTCCTTCTCCTTTAAATGCTTTCATATATTTTTAAATAGTTGGATTGTATATTCTTTTGATAGAAGATTTTGGTGTTTGAACTAAAGCTTTCACTTAATCTCTCATTCGTTCAGTTAAATTATATTTTTAGTTTTTACAATATCCATTTAGTTAAGACTTCATTCCTCTTCTTTACAGTGCAGATCTGTCAGTGCAGACGAAATTTCTGAGCTTATCTTATCTGGAAAATATATTGCTATTGCTTTAGTTGACCAGTACAAACTAAGGTTAGAGTGGCCATTTTATTTTTAATTTATTATTTTTTGTCAACACGTGTGCAACATTTATTTATGGATTCCATGTTCATAAGTTTGCAAGAATATCATAACAAAGCTCATCAATATTAAATGCACAATTGTGCTCCCTATGTTTATTAAATTTTAAAATTTTAACTGTTCCTAATTTTTTCAGATGCAGTCGTTCTTGGCTAGAGGATGTTTACATCTCTGACTTCTATAGTGGCAGCCCTGGCTACACAGGTGAGGAATGAAGTTTTGTCTTGTATGGTTTTGCTTTTAAAATCGAATAGCAACTTGATGGTGCGATGTCCAATGTCTCTGTCTCTGTCCATGTTCATATTCTTGTTGTCTTCGTGATGTTGTTTCATTTTGGTTTAAATTTTATTTCCTAGTGTCGTATTCAATCTTTCCGTAACTTGGACTACTGCCTTCTCAGGTCATTATGTCATTATATGTGGTTATGATGCTGTTGCAAATGAATTTGAGATTCGAGATCCCGCCAGTTCAAGGTTTCTATCAGATGCCTGCATTAGCTGCATGAATTCAAAAACTAAAGCTCATATATATGTTATAAAGCCTTTCATTCATATTGAACTGCATTTCTAATCAATTTTTTCTTCGGAAGAGTGGAACAACCCCTGTTTTGATTTCCTTTTATGGTTGAATAAGTAAGCCTGGAACACATCTGACCATTTTCTAATGAAATATCATTTCCTTTGGACCTAAAGTTATTTTTCAAGTCAACTTGTTTCACAGAGTCTTTTTGATGTGTGTATATGAACTTCACTTAATTAACCATAGAAGTTTCAGGAAATTTGAGAGGGTCACGTCATTGTGTTTAGAAGAATCCCGCAAATCCTTTGGTACTGATGAGGACATTCTTCTGGTAAGTTTTCAATGCTTATGGCTATTTTTTGGCAGTGACAGCAATACATGATACATATCTCAATTAATTAGCTGTTGGTTGAGTTATATGACCGCTAATATTGTTAGTTGTATAGACATCAATGCTGTTAAGTAACTTATTACAGTTACTCGTGATCAAAATCATTCTTCACGATTACACTTGCTTATACGTATAAAACAAAAGTTGCAGAGAAATAAGTCAAAGTGATGGCCTGTCAAAAAAATTGGTGTACATGGAAATCGAAAAATACAGCTTATTACCTTAATCTTCGGCCAAAATTTCATATATTGTCTCTTTATGGAGTTCATGCTGCTTTGAGCTTATAGCTCTATGCTACTAGTTTTTTAAAGGGAAAAGTGTTGAATTCAGTAATCCTGATACATTAGCAAAGACACCGTCTAAATTCAAATATTGAGTGATACAAGGGAGAAAAATTCATTTTTCTATAGGAAAAGTCTTCACAGGCGTACTTACAAAATATGGAAGAAGATATGGGTCAACAACCATGTTCTTGCATGATAATACATGTTACTTGAGGTGTCGAAGCCTGAGTTGGTCGCCTAGCACCAGCACTAGCACTTGCCACTTACGCTGCAACGAAAAATGGTGCCACCAGTTGCTGGTGGTTGTTCAGAATGGCCTCCTTTAGTGACAAGTTTTCCATAATTGACAAGACAAGATGCATCTAGTCTTCAAATTATGAGTCCTGTTTCTTAGTCAATAATGGATTTCCGTTGGATGGCAACAATACTTGAGTCACTTAACTACTTATGCTAACTCATACTTTCTCACACCTTATAATGTAGCTCTTGGCTTTCAGCTCAAATGAGTCGCATGGGGATAGCTTATTTTGTTTGACCTATTCACACAACTGAATTAATTAGTAATATCAATAAGCATCTTCCTACATGGAACCATCTAATAGGATTAATGTTGAATATGAACCGAAATCTCTTTTCTTTTCTTAGCTGAACTAAAACCCGTAGCTATGGCCTTGTAATGAAGGTAATGGAGGTATTTAAAGCACAAGCTTTCTAATGATTCTCAAGATGCAGGTTCTCTCTAAACTCTTCCCTTCATTGACCTCGAAAGGGACAACATGTGACGCTTTTTAGTTGGCCTCTGTCCAATCAATAGTTCAAAATTGCGAATATAATGGTGCTACAAGTTGTCCTTTGAGAGTTTCATGTCTCAGCGGAAAGGAAGTAATAATTGATAATTCTGTTGCAAATTTGACCCCATTGGGAAGACTGAAACTTTATTTCATTCGTACATTTCGGGGCAGAGATTTTTAATAGCTAGATTCATTACAAAATACATTCTCAGGAATGGTTGAATGTATACTCCAGCTATAATATACTCCAGCACGGATTCATTACATGCTTAATTTTTCCTTTTTCAGTTTCTTGGTCACCATGGGAGTGAGCATCATACTAGCCTTCCGTGAGTGCTGATGTTGGACAGCCCTTTCTTTTGTTTGAGAGCTTTTGGCCCCTTCAGCACTAACCCACAATTAACAGGCTTTCCTATCATTGTGTCATTACAGTGATCTTGTCCACTTTGTCTTCCACAGCAAGCCTAGCCTACTTTCGTAAAGTGTACTATAATTGGTACTTTCGTAAAGTGTACTCTAATTGATATTATCAACCCTAAATGCAAAAGCATGTTTTTTTTTTTTGAATATGGGGGGTCCATTTGATGAATAGCTAGATTGGCCTGCTGTTCATAGCCTGAAGATTGAGGTCCTCCTATATGTATCTCAAAGACGAGGAGAATGGAAAATTCAATTATTATTTCATCTCTTGTATTTGGAGACCAAATTTCTTTGAATAGTTTTGCTTAGAGAAGATCTACGTGCATAGTTCCTAGAGACGGATTTCCCCCAGCCCAGGTCCAAAGTTATTTTAAAACCAGTTTTTTATGTGTAAATTTTTTTCCCCCGCGTAGCTGCCTGGTTTGAAATTTTGTAGCCCGGTCTTAGATCCAATTTTGGATCCGTCCCTGATAGTTCCCATCATTTTGTTACATATTTTTTGCTGGTAAATAACAAGATTTAGTTCTCATTGCCGTCTAATTGTAGGGAAAGTTACACGCTCCATTTTTTGTTATGTCTGATATTTTGCTAAGTATTTGGAATGAATTTTTCATATATTCTTTGATGTATATTATCTGCGCAAGATCTTCAATCTCCATCGCATTTTATGTTTGTTTCTAATTATTTTTTTCCTTAATACAAGAGAAATTTTTTAGCCGATGGACTAATGAAAATTTGGTTCTAATTGCAGATATCCCTGGAGAAAGGGGAGAATCAACAAAACACGTCAGAGACGATGTCTTTGTAGCAATGTTAAACTTGTGTGATCAGAGAACCATTTCTACCGTGTTTGTTGTTGCACATATCTACATTTCGTTTGTACATGACTGTATATTATCGTATATAGTCATCCAAAACGAACATTCTCAATTACTGTAATTGGATGATTGTACTACCACACCTATGACTCTTAATATTAATGATGGGTACATAGATGTTTTGTGGATTCTTTTTCACCTTTAGTTTCGCTTGAAGAAGGCCAGAAACCTTTTGTCTCTTTATACTCTCAAGCATATCTTTTTGTAGGCTACTCCAGACTATCAAGCATCTTCTGTCTGTCTGTCAATACGCTATTTCCCACAACGTGAAGGAAATCAAGTTGCTGACTGGCTGTAGAGGGTAGGAATCGACGCTGCTACAAGGAGTATTGTACTTTCGCCTTGCAAGACGACTTCATGCCCTTTAATTTTTTTTTTTTTTTTTAATTCATTTATGGTTAGTATCTCATCATTTACTACTTTCGTCTTTCTTGCATTTCAATGGAGGTCATGCATCTATTGTATTATGGTATATTTATATCATGGCAACGGAATTCTAACCCCCCGTCGTCAGTCTTAATGGAGCCTAAAAAACACACCGGGCTGTGATAGTGCTATACTAAAAAACTTTGCTTTTCATTTTTGTGGAGAAATTGCACTGCTAACAAGATACTGCGGTACTTCAATTTGTGTAGATTTTGGGGGGATGAATTTCAGCAGCAAAATTGTAGCACTTAATTGATGGGCGTATGAGTAGAAACGAGTTTGTTGGGAAGTGTGTGTGTGTGTGTGTGTGTGTGTGTGTGCAGACGTGAAGAATCAAATAGACAAAATTTAGATCTCTTTACGGAAGAATCGATTTCTTTAGTCATTTCTTGATATCTTTTATACAGTCATGTTTGATTTCTATTCTTATAAAAATGAGAATGAAAAATATAGTCGTTATGGGATCCACGCAATAAAGAAGAAGTTAAATATGGTGATTTGATGTGACGAATAACGGTTATATTTTTTTTATTTTTCTGGCCAAAGAATGGGAAACAAATGATAACTGTTATATGTCTATGAGCTACTAATGTCTTTTGGTGAAACATTATTGAAACAGGATTGATGTTAAGGTCAAACCCCAATCTAAGGATAGCCATCAAACCTAGACAAATATGAATTTCTAATTTATGCAGTATGCATGAGTTTTTCCAATTTAAAATTAAATTTGACAAAACTTAGTATTATTTATTGTTGGAGACGACTTATAGAAATAGGTTATGTAAAGTTTGGTTTTTGATAGATTTGTTCGACTAGTTTTAACTTGCATGAACGTGATCAAAACACAATTTATATGAACGAAAATTTGGACAGAGTTTCGTTATATATAAATGTAGTAAACGATTACACAAAACAAGAATTAAGGAGTAGAAAATAGAGAATAATCCAAGACGAGACGTTATCTCTTTCCTTAAAACAAAATGCCTCGTTACGGTGCACACGGTGAATAGTACTTGTCTCCCAAGATTCAATGGATTCACAACTTGTGGTATCAGTATTTCAAACACAATAAACCGGCGAACTTTTGATAGAATTTTCTCTCTACAAAAGAAATGCATAAAAATGCTATAGAAATAGAAATGAGAGAATTGCAGCAGGAGAATGAGTGCTCAATGCAATTGGTGTAACCAAAATCATGTCCATAGGGTCCTATTTATAGATATAGAAAGGGTACAAATGAAATAGTGTGTGCTAAAACATGCATCCTTTCGAAAAGCTATGAGTTAAGAATTCTATTTTCCTAATTGTTTCATGGAATTTTCACAACATAGTTGTCCATTTGAACCAAGATCTTGGGATTTTCAGTCAACAAGATAGGGTTACCATTGCAAAAAATCTTACGTAGTAAGCTTTAATTTCATTCCACTCGATAGGCAACATACTTGATCTCTAGGCAAACTTTTCATAAGTGGATCCACAATATTATCATTTGATTTCACATAATCTATGGAGATAACATCATTTGTGATCAGTTGCTTAATGGTGTTGTGTTTATGACGAATATGTCTAGACTTACCCTTATACATGCTACTTCGAGTCTTTTTAATTGCCGGTTGACTATCACAATGTATACTTATTGCAAGTACCGGCACAGGGCCAACATGGAACATCTTTTAAGAAATTTCGAAGGTATTCTGCTTCTTCTCCAACTTTGTCCAAAGCAATAAAATCAGATTCCATTGTTGATGTTGAATCCATTTGAAAATATTGTTTTTTCAAACTTTTGGTACCATTGTTTAGGAGCCTGTTTTAATCCATACAAGGACTTAACAAATTTACACATTCTGTGTTTTTGGTTAGGAGAAATGAACCTTTCAAGTTGCTCCATGTAAATCTACTCTTCTAACTCACCGTTTAGGAATGTCGTTTTTACATCTACTTGATGAATCTTAAGATTGTGTATTGCCGCAATTGCAATTAACAACCTTATCGACTAATTCTAGTCACGGGTGAGTAGGTATCAAAGAAGTCAAATCCTTTTTGCCTATATCATTTGTGAACCAATCTAGCCTCATATTTATCAATGGATCTGTCAGGTATCAATTTCTTTTTGAATATCCATTTGCATTCTAAAGGCTTGTTACCGGGAGGTAAATCAACCAACTCCTACGTATGGTTTTGCATTATGGAATATATCTCACTATTGATAGCTTCTTTCCAATGCGGTGCCTCCGGTGTATACATTGTTTCATCTAAAGTTTTTAGATCATCCTCTATCAAAAAGGTTAGAAAATCTGGGCCAAATATCTTGGAAGTCCTACCTTTTTATTGGGCCTTAGTTCTTCCTTATTTGTAGTTCCATTGGTAGTTTCATATGTTATCTTTTTAGAGCTCATATTTTTCTTATCTGTGTAAGGAAAAATATTTTCAAAAAATGTTGCATTCCTTGATTTAATTATGGTCCCTTCGTGTACATCTTATATTTCGGATTTATGTACAAGAAATCGATATGCACTACTATTATTGGCGTTTCCAATAAATATGCAATCTATCGTTTTAAGATCGATTTTTACTTGTTTAGGCTTATGTACCTCAACCATAGCCAAACATTCCCGCGCTTTTAAGTATTGGTAGGACGGAGGATGATATTTAATAGTTCATATAGTATCTCTTTCATTTTCTGAAGAAGTATTTTATTAAGAAGACTATTTGCCGTTAAAATAGCTTCCCCCCCAATATTATATGGTAAACCCGAATTTATTAACATGACATTCATCATTTCTTTAAGTATTTGATTTTTGCGTTGAGCAACACTATTTGATTGAGGAGAGTAAGGTGCTATTGTTTAATGAACAATTCCATGTTCAGAACAAAAGTTTTCAAATAGTGCCCCATATTCACATTCTCTATTACTACGAATATTCTTTATTCGTTTTTCAAGTTGTGTATCAACTTCAGCCTTATAGGTTTTGAATGCATCTAAGGTTTCGTCTTTACTTCTCAAAAGCAAGACATAGCAAAACTTTGTACAATCATCAATAAATGTTACAAAGTATTTCTTACCACCTCGAGTTTGTACAAATTTTAGATTGCATATATTGTTATAGATCAATTCAAGAGGGTTGTGTTTCTTTTTATTGAATGGAACGATGTTTAGCTAATTTTACTTCAACACGTATTTCACATTTATTATTATGATTAATTTCATGAGCCGGAATTAAACTTTGATTCATTAGTTTGCGTAACGATTTGTAATTCCTATGTCCTAATCGACTATGCCACAAACATGAAAGCTCAAGCAAGTAAACAAAATTTATAGTTTATTCATAATGACTTGCTTCAGTACAATTGTAAAAACATTCAACTAAACATTCTATCATACATGTATCATTTCCTTACATACATCTCATTCTTAGACAATACAAATTTATCAAATACAAATACAAGTGTAAAACCATTCTTGCTAAGTGGAGACCCGGACACTAAATTCTTTCATATATCTAGCACATGTAGGACATTGTTGAGGACGAGTTCTTTCCCGGATGTCATCTTCAAAGTGACTTTGTCTTATCCTTCAACTTTAGAACTTGCAGAATTTTCCATTCATAATTGTTCCCTATTCAATTCTTGATAGTTGGAGAACATTGCCTTGTCCGCAAACACATGGCGGGTAGTGCCGGTGTCAATCCACCATTCTCTAGTATTTCCAATTATGTTGCATTCGGATAGTACCGCAGATAAACTAATTTCTTGCAGCCCGTAGAATAGAGTGTCATTTCAACCATGTACGCTTGAGCATTCTTTTTTGGCTTTCGACATTTATTTGAACGATGTCCAGTCTTGCCATAGTTGTAACAATTTCCTTTGAACTTCTTAACCTTCTTGAAATTGTCTCTTCGCAGTGCATAATTAGGAGCCTTTCGTTTCTTATTTGTTGCCTTTGGTTCCATCTCAACAAAGTTTGCACTATATTTTTTCAACTGACCTTCGTTTAATTTTTCGATTGTCCTCTTCAATCCTCAAGTGCACAATCAATTTTTCCAAGTTCATTTCTTTGCGTTTGTGATTGAGGTAATTTTTGAAATCTTTCCACATAGAAGTAGGGATGGCAATTTGAACCGTTAAAATCGAAAATCGTGGTTAACCGAACCAAATGGGGCGAAAAAATCGAACGATGGTACAGTGGGGCGAATATAGTATTTGATTTTAATAAATTGGTTTGTGGCGGTGCGGGTATGATATTTATGCCATCGAACCGAAACCGAACCGATTACTCGCTTAAAAAAATTATTCTTTTATTAGGGATAACAAGATTTAGTGAAGAGGAAGTTGACAAAGATGTACATTTTTTTATTTAAATTTTAGTTAAAATCATTCTGGATTAGGTAGTATCGTTGTATTCTCTACTTACATTTCTTATTTACTATATATGAATCAATTTTGAGTACTGACATATGCTAACAAGAGTTGTGGGGGAAGAATGAAAATTGAATATGAGTTAAGGTTGAAACTTTTGAATTATTGAGCATGAATCAAGTAATTACAATGCACGAGAATCAAGAATGAAGGAAAAGTTTAGTATTGTTATATTTATAATATTGTTTATTAAATTTGTATTTTGCAATTGGAATTTGGGATAATGTTTGCATTTTCGTTTGGAATATTGTGTTTTTGTTTTCATCGACTCTCTTTTCATAAATTATTTTATATCAATTTGACGGATGGACCTATAAAAAAATTTATTTTCGTGGTTCTTAATCGAACCGAATCAAGCCAAACCGAACCAAACTGATTTACGTGGTTATGGTATGACAAAAGATTTGACAGTTCGGTGATGATTTTGACCGAACCGAACCGAACCATTGCCATCTCTACATAGAAGGGATTTTCTTAATAATGGCAGCCACTTGGAATGATTCACTCAATTCCATTTTCTCGGCATGGATGTCGTGCAACAAGACTTGAATCTCTTGCACTTGGCTAATCACAGTTTTGGAATCCACCATTGTGTAGTCCAAAAATTTGCCAATAATGAACTTCTTTGTTCCAGCATCCTCGATCTTGTAATATCCAAAGAATCCCATAGTTTCTTGGTTGATTCCTTTGAACTATACACCTCATTTAGTATATTATCCAATTCGTTTAAGATATAGTTCTTGCATAGAAAGGCCAATTGTTTCCATACATCCAAAGCAATAATCGATTCACGATTTTTTTTCCTTTCTTGTACAGTCGGTGCAGTTTCTTTTAGAAACTTAGCCAAATTATGAGTGGTGAGATAAAACATCTTTTGTTGTCACCTCTTGAAGTTCTCTCCTGTAAATTTTTTCGACTTTTTCCCATGTAGGATAATAGTATTATGCAACGGTACAGCCACGGGCAATACCACATTATTGGAATCATTTTGACTTGACAAAATCCCGATGATAGTCATTTCTGTTATACAAACAGAAGTTCAACAAAATGATGATAATATCAGTGGATGAATAATAAAAAAAGCACTATTCAAATAAAGGAATGTTTTTCCACAACCAACCACAAAGACACAAAAAATTTGTCTTAAATTTGTTGGAGACGACTTATAGAAACGGGATATGTAAGGGTTGATTTTTGATATATTTGTTCGACCAATTTTAACCCGCATGAGCGTGATCAAAACACAATTTATATGAACGAAAATTTGGATAAAGTTTCGGTATATATAAATGTGGTAAAGATTACTCAAAACAAGAATTAAGAAGGAGTGAAAAATTGAGAATAATTCAATGCGACACGTTATCTTTTTCTTTAAGACAAATTGCATCACTATGATGCTCATGGTAAAGACACTTGTCTCCCAAGAAATAATGAATTCACAATTTGTGATAACAGTACTTCAAATCAGAGTAAATCGGCGAACTTTTGACAGAATTTACTCTCTACAAAGAAAATGTATGAAAATGTTATAGAAATAGAAATGAGAAAATTGCAAGAGAATAATGAGTGCTCAATGCAATTGATGTACCAAAAATATGTCCATAGGGTACTATTTATAGGTGTAGAAAGGGTGCAAATGAAGTAGTGTGAGCCAAAACATGCATCCTTTCGAAAAGTTGCAACACTTCATTTCTTCCAAAATTGGATCGCAATTTCTCACTCATCCGGAGTTGTTTTCGAGATTTCAAATATACTATAACGATCTACTCGACAAGTAGAATAAGTTGGTTTATTTACTTTTGTAATTTAACCATCGGATCAAATCCGAATATTTGGTCGAAATTGACAAGAAGTTACACATTTTCATTTTTCACTTTTACACTTAATCAATTTTCGATTATTTTTGAACCATTTCCGACATTTATTGGACAAATCTCCAAATGATATAGAAATTATTGTTGGATACTTTAAGATGTGCTAAGTTAATCAAATAAATTTGAATTTTGTTCATTCACTATTACAATTATTATGATCAAAATTCAAATTTTATTTCACACTTTAACTTCATTTATATGCAATGAATTATGAGATGTATAATTGAGGTTTAAAAAATTGTTCAGAAGTTAAAGCAAATAACTGGGTCGAAGAAAGGGTTAAAAATCTCAATGTTAACAGTGTAGTTTTTGCTTTAAAATTAGTGTTCTTTTGACATTGTTTCTCATTCCCACTAAAAAATTAACATTAAAAGAAAGAGGCTTTTTTTTTTTTTTTTTGAATTTCATGATTGTTTTAAACTAACTTTTTGAAAGTTCAATAATTCTTTGTTTGGCCCCATTATTAAAAAAAAAAAAAGCATTCTTCTATAATATTTTGACATCATTTTATTTAATAAAATAATATTATACATAAATTCAAAATTTTTCTTTATTTTTTAAACACACATTTTTCATCAATACATTATTCAAAAATTCAATTCTTCCTCCAAAATGAAGCTCAAATAAGGTCTAAATATTGAGAACACAATGATCATTTCAATTTTTTATTCGAACAATGTGAACAAATACTCCATTCTTCCCACAAAAATACACTTATCTTGACAGTGGGGATTTGACACCCTTCCTAATAGGCACACACAACGGGAGAAAGTTGGGTGCACTTTTTTGACATTTTTTAGTCAAATGGAGCTCAATGTCAATCAAGATGTCAAAATTTTTCTAGCAAATAAGCTCTATTCAATAACATATGCCAAATGTATCAAAAAGGTCGACACATGTCTCAACCGCCATTGCCACCGTTCCACTTCTTGCATAAATTAAGACCATTTCCCACGCAGAAGAAATAAATTGCTGTTCGAGCCTATTTGTTGGGAAAGATTTTATAAAAAATAATATTTTTTTAAAAAAATGTGTGATTAAAAATAAAATAATATATTATTGAAAATGAAATTGGAAAAAAAAAAATTTGAAAAATAGCTGTCATATTGTGTGTAATTTGAGTCCCCATTTGACAACTTTTAAAAATGTTTTTGTAGGAAAAAATAAATTTTGGGATAGAGGTTTCTTTTAGAATCATTGTTAAAAATTATAAAAATATTTTAGTGTATATTTGAGCCACATTATTTTGAAAGAACGTACTTTGGAATAGTCGATTGATGGGGAATATATAGTCAAAAAATAAGGAAATTTTTTGAATTTGCATGTAATGTTATTTTATTGAATGATGTATGTTGAAATGATATCAAATCACTGTTTAAAAATATATTTTTTGAAAGAATGTAACTCAAATAGAGTCTTAGATTTGTGTACACAATTTTTTTTTTACGAAAATGCATGATTAAAAATAAATAAAAAAATTTGTTTTAATGATGGTCAAACATGAACTGAATAGAATTTGAGTTACCCTCACTTCCCTCTTTCCATATTCAAATCCAAAATTAATTTGATTTTCGAATTTGTTGTCCCCGAAATGAGTCTGAAACCTTAATAAAAGCAAACCCCGTCAACAACATTCTTCCCACTTTTCTTACTTCTATCCCATCCTTTTCACTCTTTATTTTTTCCCCACCTTGGGTTCTGGGTCCCTGTCTCTTACCATGCCTGCAAATTACTCACTTCACACTTATTATTATATCTTCCTGTACCAGCAACCATAACTCTATACACTAGTCTACTTTTATTTCTCATTTTTGTTTTTGCTCCTAAAATGGCTGATCTGGTTCCAGGACCGGAGTATTGTTTGCCAGCGGAGTTCCTCACTGACGAGGATTTTGTCATTGAGAATGAGAAATTCAACAAAAAAACTGAGTCAGTTTCCGAGCTCTGCTTCCCCACTGAATTTCCATACGATTTTGGCACCTATTCAATGGGTTCTCCCGAAACAGAGAGCGACGAAGAAGACTTACTCGCCGAGTTAACTGGCTCCTCTTTCTATCAACGTCTTAACCCCACCAAGCCTCAAAATCTTGAGGTGCTATTTCTTGTAATTTCTCACTTTTTCTCTGTTTACCTTACTTTTTGCATTTTCTTATCGATTTCTTGTTTGCATGCTTCATTTTCTAGAAGGGTTGGATGATGTCCGGTTCACCACAGTCAACGCTGACCCAGTTCCGGAGCTGGTCGGGTGGGAGCGCCGGAGGGTCGTACAACGGTAGCCCGAATGGTCCATCTCAGGTGCCGTCTCCTCCGACGATGTTTGGGATTAAGAACAACAAGCCATGGGAACTGATTTACCAGCCCGTGGTTCGAGTGCCAAAACACAAGCTAAGCGGCGGTGACCTTCCGGACCCACCTAGAAGCCTCGTTCAAGTTCGATATCCTGCACAAAATCCCAACGCCCCTGTTTTCCACAACACCCGTGTAAACATCTTTAATTAACCTTTATGCATTTTCTTGCTTCATTTTTTTGACTTTCTTTTTCATATTCAACAGTTCCAGCAAGTGAGAGTGGATCGTTCGATGAACCAACCGAATATGGGGTGTGGAATGCGTTACGGCCAGCACCAAGTGTATCAAAACATGGGTGTGGGACTTGTAGGAGGAATGGGTCAAGCTGCATACCAGACTCGCCCTACCCAGAAGTTTAGCGGTTCGGGTACTGAGCCGGTATCTTTTGGTAGGTATGGCGGCGGAGATAGAGTTGGTCCAGGGGGTGGCGGTGGGAAAAGGGGGTGTGCTGGGACAGGGGTCTTTTTGCCTCGGAGATATGGGGCTAATAATGACATGAACGCGTTCCCTTCTGATTCACGCAAGAAGCTAGGTACTTTACAGCTAATCAGTCCCCTCAATTGCTAAATTTTCTTGATTTTTCGTATTTTGGGGCCTGTTTAAATTTATCATTTTTGTCAGATTATACAGCTATGATACAAAATTAGCTTCATTAATTCTGTATTAATTTTGTGGTCCAAAATGGGATTTCCAAATTCTAATCCGAAGTTAACAGTGGGGTAATAGTTTCATGTGACGTCTCACTGTCTCTGATTATTTTGGATAGGGTTTTATTCTACTGATTCAGGGAGACATTTCCCCATAGTGGACCTCACTTTTTTTAATTCTAATAATCCTTGTTTCTAAATACTAAAAATGGGATTTCATTTCATTTTTATCAACAATCTTGTCTGCCAAATCTTTATCTGGGGTCAAAAAGGAACAAACCTTGGTAGCTTTTTAGATGTTGAACACGAATTTTCTTTATTATTCATATTCCGAAAGTACATAATTTGACAGACAATTTGGTTAAGATAACAGATAATGTTGTATTTGACGTTCTGATTCTGTTTGCAGCTAGTTCAACTGCTTTGTTTCCTGATAGAATTATCCATTCCCTCAACAAGAATATCGCAGACGTTCAATCTCAGTCTCATTACTTCATCCCGGATTATGGTATACATTGTAATCCATTTATCACTATTTTTACACATTGGGTATAATTTTTTGCTTACATTTTTTAATTGCATTTTCACAGACACCTTGATGTCTCGAAGAAATGCGTTATTGATACGTCAACTCGGTTTAAGTTCCTCGACTCGGAGTTCATACCCTCATCAGGATTGAAGCTTTTGAGTTTGGACATTTTCAGTTGATTCTGGCTGTAAGAGAAAGGCTAGTAAAGTTGTGGTCGTATAGTTAGACAAGGAGAAGAAGAGATCCTAAGGTTGTTTTGGTTGGACAGTGTTATGTATCTATGTTTTTATGACCTGATGGCGATATATAAAATTATAGAAAAAGGTTGTAGTTAGAGTGAGGAGGGTGGTTTTTTTATTGAATAATTAGTGGATGTTTGTTTTGGGCAGAATTTATTTGAATGGAAAATCCACAACCCTCCTTTTCCTTTTTATGTAATATTATTGAGTTTCTAATGTTGTCTAATAAAAAAATATATAGTTTATCTTATCATTACAAGTTGGTTCGGCCAAGGCATTTCTGCTTGAATTGATGAATCCTTCCATTTAAATGAATAGTTAAGCCCCCGATTCACCTCCATTAATTTTCATTTTATTTTTCTCTTCTATTTTTAACCACACAATTTTTCATAAAATAATATTACACGTAAATCAAAAAATTTTCATTCTTTTTCAGTCATTTTTTTTTAAAAAAAAAATACTATTTCACTCATTTTCATCTTTCCGAGGGGGGAGGGGGGCAAATGGGGGTTAAGTGACGGTTACCATCGATTTGGATTAAAATCTGATTTTAATCAAAATCTAACAGTTAATATCAATCACATCTTTTATGAATTCTACAACTTTTTGATCATACATTTTAAAAATTTATATCACAATCTACTAAGAATCTAATTTTAATTTCTACCGAACACCTTATAAATTTGGAGGGAAGCCTTGCTTCGTGATGACAAAATATGTTGAGGGCACTACTCGTTTTAGCCCCTGTTTGATCTCCATTAAATTAAATTACATTTCATTGCATTCTATTTCTCTCTCTCCTATTTTCAACCACACAATCTTCCATAAAATAATATTACACGTAAATCGAAAATTTTTCCTTCTTTTTCAACCACCCATTTTTTCAACAAAATACCATTCCCCTGATTTTCATTACCAAAAATGGAAGCCAAACAGGGGCTTATTGTGACTACGGAGCCCCTCTTATATAACTTTAAAAAGTTGCAATCGTAAAAATAATAAAATCTCGAAGAGAATAAAATATTGTACACAATACAAATTTTACCAATAAATACGTAGCTTGACCATATTACTCATCTTCAATTGGTCGAAGTAAATTCAAAAGTGAAAGATAGTGTTCTTTAACTTTTGAATTAGGAAGAGAACGATAAAAAGTGGTGTAAGATAATAGTCTATTACTTAAAAGGTTAAACTCTAACTTTAAGGGTCCCCCATCATTCCTGTCCTGGAGTATCGTGAGGGAGGTAAATCGCAGGTTATGCCTCCAAGGGTACAGGGTGGAAGGCTGCTTGTACACTTGCACTTACCCAATAGTCAAATTCATATTTCAGGATTCGAACCCTTGACGCAGTAGCCTCAAGTAAAGCTGGATTTCTCCACCCTCCCCTTTTACCACTTGGAGATGTGCCTTAGGGGCAATAAGAGTCTATTACTTAGGGTTGAACCCCAACTTTAAGGGCTCCAACCGACCTTGCCCTGGGCCATCGTGGAGGAGGTAAATCGCAGTATGTGCCTCCCAGGAGCTAGGGTGGAGAGCATATGGATAGGCCAAGGCTGTTAACCCATATGGTAACTACCGCTTGCAATAAAGCCAATTTCACCTTGCGGGGAATCGAACTCTGCACACTACCGCGCTGAGCCCTATCCTTTGCCACTGGGAGATATGCCCTGGGGGCAAAGTCTATTACTTAGCTTGGACGTGAAGGAGATCAAGACATAGACAGGGACGTGGGCAGTGGCGTACGACGTAGTATCAATGGCCTTGTTCTTTGTTTTGTCGTCTTTTGGAACTTCCCGCTTCTTTTTCAGATTTCAAAGGGATAGAGTGGCAAACATCTTCGGTAGTTGTGATTTGGTTTATGGTCAACCCACCCACCTTTGTTTTTTAATGCAATGTAACCAAACATATTTGAAAGCCAAGTATTGCTATTGTTATCACGTTGAATTAAGAGTCAATTTTTTATGGTCAAAATAAAATTTGTCCAAGTAAATTATTTTATTAAATATAAGATGTTCTGTGTATTAGAGTTTGAATACTTGTATATCATTTTTAAAAGTCTCTATTTAAATTTTTGTAATACTATAAAATAATTTAACTCTCTAAATTTGAAGAATCAAACTCATTATCTATTATTACTTTATAATGATTACATTTATAAACTATAAATTTCAATACTTTAAGTAAAAATTTTACTATGTATTACGTATAAAATGCTTTTTATAAATATAGTCTTTTGAAAATGTTATTATTTAAGAGTTCATCCTTAAAATTATTCATGTTCAATTTCCATTAAAAAGAGCTTTTTGGGGGAAATAAGTTTTTGGAATAATGTGTGGTTAAAAAGTAGGGAAGAGTTTTATATTTATGTTCAAAATATTTTTTTATGATATTTTATAGTTGAAAATGAGTTTTAGAAGAAAAAAAAAGAGTTTTTCAAGAATGATAAACAAACAGATATTTCAAAATTCGTGCAAAAAGGAAATGGAAATCTAGATTCGATGGTCATTATTTTGAGAAAATAGAATTTTAAATAGTGATTTTTTGAATAATGTTATAACTCGAATCAAGAATAACCCAAAAACTCAACAGAAACACTTCAAACTAAAAAATAAACAAATGATCATTAACATGAAAAGGTAAATGTTTTAGGCTTAGATTTACGTTGTACCCTTCTCTACAAACCAAAATCTCCTCTTAACCTTAACCCTAATTTCAAAGAAACGGAGACAGCTACTTCTATGGAACGAGAACGACTACAAAACACAGATATCCTACTCTCAACCTCTAACCAAAATGAATCATAGAGACTCGATCACACAAATTTCCCCAAAACCAGGAGTTTTGAGGTTACACAATGTAAAAATGAGAGAGAGGAATAAGAAGAGTCACGAAGAAAGAACCCAGAAGCTTCTCAAGAAATCAGAGAGTCAAAAGATACGGTAAAGCAACCACTCAGGTTCTTTTATACTAGCCAGCATCACCGTAGATCGTTAAGTGGTGATCTACGGACCAGAGCAGTACACGTGTCCCCTTTATTTGGGATTGGGTTTGGGCCCATTTTGGTTTGTGTTATCGATTTGTGTTAAAGTGGGCTGGATCCATCATTAATTGGCATAACAGCCCAATAAATCTCCTCCTTGATGCCAATGATCAAACAAATTGAAAACTATAACAATAAACTCCATAGAACACACCCATGGTCATCAGCTCCAAGTTAATTTGAACTTACAGAACCACAAAGATTACTTAGTATCAATTTTTAAGATTTGCAAATAGGATTTAAACTTATTTAGAGGAAGTATCTTAGTTCCCATATTAGCTGGGTTAAACTGGGTTGGGATCTTTTCAAGTAAAATGGATTCTTTTTGAATAATCTCTCTTATGAAATGCATTCAAACATCTATATGCTTTGTTCTTTCATGGAAGACGGGACTTTTACATAAGTGAATGGCACTTTGACTATCAGAATAAATTACAACAGGATTTACAAGCTCATTTACCTCATGTAATAAACATTTTAGCCATAAAGCTTCTTTTATGGCTTCAGTAATAGCCACATATTCTGCTTCTGTAGTGGATAGAGCTATTATTGGCTGTAATTGATACTTTTAACTTATACATGTATCACACAAAGTAAACATATAAGACGTGATTGATTTTCTAGTATTCCTGTCCCCAGCATAGTCTGAATCTACATACCCCATCAAGATAACTCCATCTTTACAAGGTTTAAAACACAATCCTAAATCTGCAAACCCGTTTAAATATCTTAGTAACCATTTCATAACAAACCAATATTCAAGGCTAAGGTTAGCCATGAATCGGCTCAAGGTACTTATAGCATGTGCAATATCAAGTCTAGTACACGTCACAGTATACATGATAAAACCAACAACATTGGCATATGGGACTCTTTGCATATATTTTATGTTAGATTCATCTTGAGGACTCTGTTCTTTATTTAGTTTAAAATGAGATGCAAGAGGTAATGTAACATGCTGAGATTCATGTATGGCAAACTTAGATAACACATTTTTCACGTATTCAGATTGTGTTAAAATAAGTGTCTGTTGTGATCTATTTCTTTTTATATTCATACCCAAAATCCTTCTAGAATACTCTAAGTCTTTCATTTCAAATTAAGCACTTAGCACTTTCTTAATTTCATTTATATCACTTATCTTTTAGCCCATTAACAACATATCATCCACATACAATAACAAATAAACTATCACGGAATCGCTGTCATTCTTCTTAAAATAGAGGCAATGATCAAAGGAGCATCTAATATAACAAACTGAAAACACAAATTTATCAATTTATACCATTGTCTAAGGATTATTTTAGGCCATACAAAGATATTTTTAAAAGATAGATGTGATTTGGTCTTCTAACATTAGTGAATCCCCGTGGTTGGGATATATATAGATAGTTTCCTCTGGGCCACCATGCATGAAAGTGATCTTAAATCCATTTGCTCTAGTTCAAGATCATATTGAGCAACCAATACAAGCATCACTCTTATTGTAGTATATTTAACTACAGGAGAAAAAATTTCATTGTAATCAATGCCTGGTTTTTTGGTAAAACCCTTTGCTATTGGTCTAGCCTTAAATCTAAAAGGTTGTTTAGAGGAATTTCCCTCCTTAATTGTCTAAATCCATTTACAGTCTATTATGGACTTATTCTTAAACTTGGGTACAAGTTCCTAGGTTTTATTCTTTGTTAGGGACTCAATCTCGTCTTCCATAGTAAGCTGTTAATCTTTTGAGTGTTGATGACTGATGGCTTCTTTATAAGTTTTTTCCCATAAGGTTTTAACATTTTCAAGTTTTCCTACCTTTCTTAATACCTGATCAGATAAATGAAGGATAATGGAAGTATAGGTAAGTTCACCATATTCAGATTTTGTTCATCAGTCATCACCAGTTATGGCCTTTGAAGACTTTTGTTGAATAAGGACTCCCCTCATTTTTTGCTGCCAAATCTGAAAGTCTCATTTTCCATTAAAAACTCCAAGTTCAAACGTAGTAGCTATCATTTGAAGTTTTTAATCAACATAAGAAAATATTTGATAGTCAATGTTCAGCAAGAAGAGAGGCTAATATTCCACAAATATGTTGAACAACACAAAGTATTACACACAATATATGAAATATCAGGGGCGTATAAAACTATGAAAAATAACAGAATAGTATCAATGCAAAATTAGGGA